TTTTATACCCTCTGGAGGAATGTGGATAAGCACGTTTGTGGTTAGAGTCGGGGGTCAGGATGCCAGAGCTAAGCTTTCCCAGGGGAGCCAGGGCTGGAGCAGGCCTGGGGCTCGGCTCCTCGCTGCGGAGCATCGCTTCATCGCCTCCCTGCTCTGGCCCTGCAGGTACTGCACAGAGGGCAAACGGACCTTCAGCAGCCGGCTCATCCTGGAGAAACACATCCAGGTGCGACACGGGATCAAGGTGACCGACCAGGCGAAGAGCCAGGAGGTCGTTATCGCCCGGATAGGGACCGGCACCACGCAGGTACGAGGTCTCTGTGGTCTCTCGGGGTGCTCGCAAAGGGCTGGGGCCTTGCGGAGGTTTTGGGCGGGGTTGAAGGCATCGCCGTGAGCCCTGATCCTGGTTTGCTCTTGCCTCCACACGTCCTGCAGTGCTTGGGACCGGCAGCTCCCTCCCACTGTGAGGCCCAGCGCCTGCTGGGTGGGTGCGGGCCCCATCTGGGCACAGCTTGCTCGGCTCCCGCCTCTCCCTGCCAGCATGGCAGGGGTTGAACTTGGCTGGCTCAGCCTCTCGCTGTGTGCTGGGAGAAAATGCAAAACATCCCCTCTTGCTCAGAGCTTGCTTAGGAGCTGCCCCAGGCTGCGAGGGGCGAAGGCGCCTGACGCGAGGGGTACAGGCAAGTCAAAGGCCGTTGTGGGAGCCCCTTGGCCAGGGTCACCGGCAGGGGCACAGCTCTTGGGGCTGGCCAAGGCCCGTTGGGCCTTTATCTGAGCAAATACCTGTAGGAGCCCGTTGGGAAATCCCCGAGGAGGCTGGGTTATGCCAGGAGCTGCTCAAATCGGGCACCCATTAAAGCTTATCTGAACCGTTCCCGTAGGTGTCCAGTCGGAAGCGGAAGCTGTCCTCGGACGAGGGCGACTCGTGCAGCGAGGAGCCTGACAGCACCACCCCTCCCTCCAAAAACCCCAAGGGCGACCGCAAGGCCCCATTCCGGTGCCGAAAATGTGGTTACCTCGCCAGCAGCTCAGCCGACTTCCAGGAACACATCCCCCAGCACCGGACTGATGAGAGCTCCCACCAGTGCCGGGAGTGCGGGCTCTGCTTCACCTCCCAGGTCCCCCCCAACCGCCACCGCTTCATCACCCACAAGAAGAAGAAGGGAGCGAGCGAGATGGAGGAGCCGGGGCCCCGGAGCCCCCTGGAAGGAGGCGCCCAGCACGTGGCCGACGGCAAGCTCTCCTGCAAGGTGTGCGGCCGGTGCTTTGACAGTCAGCTCAACCTCAAGACGCACTTCCGCACCCACGGCATGGCCTTCATCCGTGCCAGGCAGAACGCGAGCCCCGAAAACTAGGGCCCCGGCAGAGGGGGAACGAGACATGTATATAATCAGCACAGAGCTCTCTGCGACGGAGGCTGCTGGCGCCCACCTGGGCTCCCCCTTCCTCCCTCCCTCCTCCTGGGCAGCGTTTCGACATGGGCTCGGATAAAGGAGCCGTGAAGAGAGACGAGAGCCTGGCTTGCACGATCCGGCCTGACTTCATGTGCCCGGCTCGCTGATCGGCTCGGCCGGCATCCCCCCTGGGCCAGGGGGCTCAGCCCACCCTGGTTTGTGGGCAAGAGCTGGGGGAAGGCAGGATTTTGGCTGCCTTACCGCACAGGAGATGAAGGGCAGAGTCCAGACTTGCTGCCCTGCTCTCGGCGAGACCAAACGGTTTGTTCACTGTTCGCTGTTGTGTCCTCATGCGGGGACGTGACCCGCCCCACAGCCACTCGTGACCGCGGGGAGGGACAGTGGCCTTCCTCCCGCAGGGACGAGGATGGGAGAATGGCATCTCCCACCCCGGGGCCAGTGTTGGCAATCCTGAGTCACAGGCTCTTCTTTTACACCGCGGGTCTCCTCCCGGCCGCTCTGTCCGGGGCGCGCCGTGCTGGAAGGGAAGCCCGGCCGAGGCAGCGACAGCCCTCGGGGAGCGCTGGAGCTGGGCAGGACCTGGGGACCAGGGGAGACTTCTCCATCGCAGGACAGAGACGTCTGTGCTGACAATAATGTCACAGCAAAATCCACCTTTTTTTTTTTTTTCTTCTTTCCTTTTTGAATGTTGCTTATTTTGTATTTCGCCGGGAGCCGTGTGGAGAAGCCGATTCCAGACTCACGGCTGGTCTCCATCGTTGCAGAGAGACGCCCCAGCCCCTCCTTGGCTCCGCTCGCCTGCCAGATGCGCGAGGTCCCTCTTCGCCATCACTTGCACTAACTCGAGGCGGCGCTGGCCTTCAGATGCTCGTTGCTTTGTGCCCTGGGACGGCCGCGCTCGGGGCCCCGGCTGGCAGCCTTCCCCGGGAGGAGGAGGAGGAGGAGATTTTCGTTCGGCAGCAGAAAAACAGAATCCAAAAAAAGGCCTCTGGGCGAGATCAGCGTGAGCCCGGTGGCACCATCACCCCCCCCCGGCACCATGAAGCTGCACCGAGTGTTTGCTGGCGCTGCAGTGAGGGGGGGTCTCCCCACACCCTGACCAGGATCCGTGCCAGCCGCTCTCCGGCTGAAGGGGCCGGGAGGAGGGAAGGCCGCTGCCGAATCCTGTTACAGACTGAAACACTGACGGTGAGTCTTGGGGGGCTTTTCCCAGGGGCGCTGCCGTCACCCACTGCCGCCCCCCCCTTTCCTGCCCGGCCCCAGGGGCCGGGGGCTCTGCTCCCGCCTGGCCTGCAGACGGGCTCGGCTTTACCGGCTGGGCCTCTTCCTCGGGGAGGCCCCCCCCCCTCGCCGCTTCGCGGGTGCAGAGCGGCTCCCGGCGTGGCTCAGGACCGCGGGGCCGGAGCGGGCTCCCCCTCGGCCACTGTGAACCACTTCCCTGCGCACACGCGTGTGCGAGAGCTCGGCCCCGGCACAGCGGGGTCTCGCCCGCGCGGGGCTGTCACCGCGCGCGGGGCTGTCACCGCGTCCCCCCCATTACCTTTGGGGAAGGAGAAAAAAACAGCCGGAAAAGAAACTTTCTACTTGTTCTGTTCGTTTAGCGCCTGTGCTTGGGGTAGGGTGTTTGTGTGAGTAATTATTTCAGTAACTTAACTTTGGGCTCCTTCTTATTTCCTTGTGAATAACCTCTAACACGCTGTGTAAAGTTGTATCATACACTAAAAGTGACAAAAAAAAAAACCAACCTACTGTTGTGATTTTGGGTTTTTGTTTTGTTTTTGTTTTGTTTTTCTTCTTATTTTCTGGGGTGGGGAAAGCTGGTTTGCTGGGGTTGGGGTTTGGTTTCTTTTTTTCCCTTTTTTTTTCTCCTTTTTTTTAAGTGCAGGTTTGTAATCTTGGTTTTCAAGCACTTCAGTGCCTTTAGATCGACTTCTGTTCAAGCGGGCGGGGGGCGTCTGTACACTTGTTTTTAGGGGTTGTGATTATGCTACATTAAAACTACGGGCACTGCAAGAGGCCCTCAGGTATCCTTTATTCTTGTAGTAATAATGCAATTAAACTTTTAGTGGTTTAACCCCTGCTGTGCCCTGTCTTGCTTACCTGGCCCCACGTGTGTCCCGGGAGGGGTCCTGTGTCCCCCCCCATCACAGCGGTGTTGATCCTGCCCCAAAAGGGGGGTGGAAGGGGCTGACTGCCCCCCCCCCCGCCTTGCCCCGCGAGGCCTCACGGCGGCTGGGGGCCGTCCCCTCTGAGCCCTCCCCTGCTGCAAAGCTGGGGGGGCACCCCCAAACAAGGTCTGTGATTGCCTGTGACCACGGTTTTAGGGTGCCCTTGGCATGGGGACACCCCCACTCCGTCCCTGATTAAGCCCCCCCCCCCCCCCGCCGCCCCCCCCGCCCCG